CCCCGGGCCGCCTCGTGTAAACACCCTCTCCTCTCGGTGCTGCTAGTGTCGAGGTGGCCTTTTGCAACCAGTTCTAGGAATTCCGCATCTGAGGCGTAGGATTAGGGAGCCGGGGGTGGGGGGGCGCGGGGCACTGGGAGGGCTGGGCCTGCCGCGGGCTCTCTGCCCGGGGTGGCGAGCAGGGACCTCTCCCGTCCCCCATGTTCACACGGGGGACCCGCTCCACTCTGCATGTGTCATGCTCACAGGCTCCGCCAGGACACTGCGGGCTGAGGGGGACCTGGCTGTCTCCACTGGCCTGCCCCCGCCCCCCTTCCCAGGGCTGGCAGGAAAGCTCGCTCTTGGGTCTGGAGTGGGCCAGGCCTCGCCGTGGGACCTCCCGAAGGGGACGCGCAGGGGGCCAGCCTGGGCCCTTGCTGGGTGTGCACATGCCAGCTGTCCTTGGGGGGGCCACCTGATGGGGCAGGATTCGAGGTACAGGATGACGGGGTCGTGGGGACCTGCCAGGCAGGGACAGTGGCCCAAGCGGGCAGCCACACCGCCCTTGCCAGTCCCAGTCCTTCTAGCGAGGCCTCGGGAAGGCGAGGAGGCCTCTGCAGTGACTGGCGTGAGGACGGGGAGGCACACAGCCCCGTTTGCAGGGGGGGCGCTGCTCTTCCTGTCGTAACTGCAGTTGGGGTTTTAAATATATGCATCTTATTTGTGAAAGTGTGCGAGGGGGCAGGGCCCATCCCGTCACCATCCAGCCCTCCACGTGTTTCAGGCCCACGCGGGATCTGCCCCCACGGGCCTCCCGCTCTGCAGCTCCCCACGCCATCCCCTGCCCCACCCAGGCTGGGCCTGTTTTACCCCCATGGGGTAGTTGTGCTGCAAGCTCTTCTCCATCGTCTGTCTTGTCGGGATTTTGACCACGCACCCGGCGGTTTTCAAGCCACCAGAATCAGGATTCAAACCGTGGCTGGCCACGCAGGGTCCAGCTCCCTTAACTGTGAAGCTCTGAGGCTAACCCCCTTTTTTCTTTAAAGACCGGATCTTGCCGTGTCATGATCCTCCTGCCTCAGCTTCCTGGGTAGCCAGGCACCACCGCGCCTTTCAGGAAGGACCTGGAGTCGAACCTGGGCCTCCCTCGTGGCAGCACAGGCCGCTGCAGACGGGCCACCAGGGCGGGCTGGAGCAGCCCCGTGTGGGCGGCCCTGGGGGGTAAACAGCTGCACGCCTCTCCTCCGCAGATCTGGGACATGAGCGACGACGAGACCGTGTGAGGCCGAGGAGCGCCCGTCGCTGGAGCAGGACTGCCGCCTCCTACACTGGTGATGCCGGCCGGCCCCTCCACCTCTCTGGCCCCTTCCTCTGCACACGCCGAGGCCTGGGACCTCCCCCGCTGCCCAGGGGCTCCCGGGGCGTGCCTCTCTCACGGCCCGTGTCCCGCCCGTTCTGAGCTGAATAATAACCTCGACTGCGGTGTTGCCGGTGACCCGGGACGTGGTGGCCTCCACATGCGGTCCTTCTTTCTGTCGTCGGTGTCTGCGGTCCACCCCGGGGGTGGCACTGAGGACGCCATGGCGGGCCGGGGGGAGGAGGAGCACACGCGGTGACGCGAGGACCCCTAGGACAGTCCTCAACTGCGGGGCTCTTGCACAAAGCAGGGGAGGAGGGTCTGCTGCGGGAGGTCCAGGAGCAGGTGCCCGGCGGGGGCTCCTGCCTGCCCTGTGGGCTCTCCAGGCCCGGGAGGGCCCAGCGGGGCTGCATGGAGCCTTCCTCCCTGACCGGGGGCTCCTTGGTGGTGGCTGGGAGGTCCTGCCCTGGGATTCTGCCACAGCCTGGAGCCAGGGTGAGAGACTCAGAGAGCCCCCGGGCACCTCAGGCGAGGCCGGGTCTCCCACGATCACTTTTCCTGCCCCTGTGGGGTGAGGGTGCAGGCTGCGTCCGCCCTCCCGCCTCCCCAGCCCTGTCCCCAGGATCAAAGAGCCATGGGCCAGGCTGTGGTTTAAGAGCACTTTATTATTGTTCTTAAGGCTACTTTTAAGTACAAAAAAAAGATGGCCTGCCAAACCTTTTTTTTTCTTCTTCCAGGGAAAACAGGCCACAGAGAACGGTATAGTACAGAGTTACAGACACGGTGGGACAGGCCGCGCCGCTCGGGCGGGGGTGCTCCGCCTATCCCAGATAGGTCCGCGCCGCCTGGTCCCCTCCCGGGGCCGTGAGCCGGTGCCCGCGGCGGGCTGTCCCCTGTGGCGCCTCAGTAGCCTGTCGCAGTAACAAACTCGTGGCTATTAGTGCAGGCGCAGAGGCCTCAGCAACCTGTCCCTGCACTTCCACAGACACATCGACGACAAAAAAAAGATCAACTTTTTTTTTTTCCAAACAACAAAAATGATTACAATAGGAAAGGGACAAATTAAATAGCTACATATCATTAACAAATTAATTGTTCTTCAAAAAATACCTACAAATTTCTCTGTACATTCTTTACGCACAGCGTAATGATGGTCTTAAAGTTACCTATATAAAAAAAGTGTTCTCAACGATTTTTTTCCTACAGAAAATATAGGGGCCTGGATGCCAAAGCCTGGAAGCCCGGTAAAGTAGGAGTGAGCCGTGCGCGGGGCGGAGAGGGGCTTGGCTTTTGCTTTGCGAGGCCCCGCGGCCACCCTGTGACTGCGAGCGCCAGTTCTCCGGCCGAGCCATCCGGAGTCAGTTTCCAAAATCCCTCGGCCACACTGTGTGTCTCACAGCGAAAGCCGGCCGGCCACAAGGGGGCCCGTAAGCAGGAACCCACATGCTGGGCAGGCGAGGTGGCCATGCCCACGTCACCTGGCCAGGTGGGGAAGGCCTGGGGGTGGCCACAGCCGCGTCCGTCGTGCCTGCTGCCTCGCCCAGCTTCTGGTTAGTAGCGTTCATCTAGCGCGGTAATAACCGCAGCGATAACTCTGAAGTCCGAGGAATGTACACGCCTTGGCCCCAGCGTACAAGGAAGCATCTAAAAATACCACAGCGCGGATTGTCAGCAGTCTGCCACTCGGCCGACCGTTCGGAGGGAGCAGTTCCTGCGTCGAGGGCAGCTGGAAAGACGCGGATCCCAGCTCCCCCGGGAGCTCGTACTAAGCAGGCAGGGATGCAAAAAATAAATGATGAAGTCAGCCGCAGGCCAGCCCTCCGGCCTCCTCCGCGCACCCGGGCCGCCAGCAGCTGGCCGTCCCGCGCTCCTGGTGAGTAGCGTGAGTATCAAATACAAATCTTAGAGTACAACTGTACCAGCAGTAAGTATACCTAGGACCGTAACTGACAAAAAGAACTAATCCTGGAGAGGCTAGTGCGTCTCAGGGATGCCGCTCACTGCCTGTGCACGTAAGAGAAACCGCTATTCCTCCTTAAAGCACTGCGGGGCCCCGGCCTCAGCTCCAGCCGCACACCGCAGCGTGCAGAAGGTAAATGCCCGTGAGGGGCCGGAGCCAGAAAGACCTCTACCCTGTGCGAGCCCTCCCCTGCCACGACTGAGTCGTCTGCCTGAGCGGCCGCGACCACACGCCGTCAGAAGTGTCACCCTCCACCCTTCCTGTCTCAGCAGTTCGCCCTCGGGAGCCCTCGCGTCTCCAAGTGGTCAGGCCAGCAGCTCAGGTCCCCCCACAGTGCAAATCAGACACGGCGGGCCTCCTCAAGTCCGCACGCACGCACACACAGCCCGACAGCCACGCACGCACATGCACACGGACTGAGCCCGACGGCCGCACACAGCCGGGTCTCGAGGAGCAGAGGGCGCGCTCAGGGCATGTACCAACGTCGTCATGGCTTATGAGTGCGCATGCGCGGGCCGCGCCCTGCAGCAGAGGTTTCTTTGGTAACGGAGGCAGGAAGGGTGCCCGTCAGATGTTGCGCGTCCTTCCTGCTGTCGTGGCCGAGGGCCCCCTCGTGTGGACGCCAAGCAAGTACAGAGACAGGACAGAACAGAAGGAGACCCCCAGCAACATGGTTTTTGCGAAGAAACCAGCCCGTCCCTTCCCCCCCGCCCGCCCCCGTGATTTTTTTTTTCCATTTTTGTAAGTACTGACTGTTCAAAGCTCAGGCAGACCGTGCAGACGCCGGTGCTGCTGGGGGGAGGGCGCGCCCCTCAGGAGACCACGGAGGGCGGGTGGCTGTGGCTGACCATGTGGGCCGAGGGGCTGGCGGGCTGGCCCCTGCGCGACGCCGACTCGGGGCTGCTGGACGCGCCGTCCTTGGCGGCTTTGATCTGGAGCCACGTGTCCCCCAGGGCTTTGGCGAAGTGGTCGTCCACGGAGCCCGTGATGGACACCGAGCTGGGCGCCGGCTCAGGCTCCTTGTAGTTCTTGCCCAGGCTCCGGCGGAAGTGCTCCTCCACCACGGGGTCGCAGGTGGTCGCCGAGGCTGCGGGGCAAGGGGGGCGCAGTCAGGTCGTGTGCCGCGGACAGGCTGCCGTGGTGGGGCGCTCAGGGACCCCGGGCCCACCTCCCCCTGAAGTCCTGGCCCCGCACAGGGCACTCCCAGCTGCAGGACGGCAACGAGCCCACGGCACTGGGCCAGGTCGGGTTCCCGGGGACCGCACCTGCCTGCCCCACTGGCACTCACCGCTCGGCGGCCTCCGGTAGCTGGCGGGCCCGGGCGCGGCGCAGCCGCTGTGCGCCACGGGGCAGTGCGAGAGGTTGCAGTTGCGGGCGCCGGCCGACGCGCAGGTGATCACGGAGGGCCGGTTCTGCAGGCGGGGAGGGGGAAAGTGCCGGGTCAGGTCCTCAGCCGCCCCGCGGCGCCTCCCCAGTCTGGACGAGGAGACCAGGCCACACTGCCACGCGATGGCCGCCTCAGGGAGCGAGACGCCAAGGGCCGGCGCTCCTCCACCTCCACCTAGGCTGTCCGTTCCCTGCATGGCCTCCCTTGGTCGAGGGGGCGGGACCAGGGACCCCCCAGCTCTGCTGCGGAGTTGTCCTGTCCACACCCTCTGGAATGGAGACCAGCCCTGGGGGCTGGAAACGGGTGTGTGGACGGCACAGGGCTGCAGGGTGGGCCTGCCCTCGTCTGCACCGTCGGTGTGCTCAGAGCTGCCCTGGGCCCTGCCCGTGGACGAGCTTCTGCTTGAGCCTGAGCCTGAGCCAGGGGAAGCGTGACCGTGCACACCATGACGGAGATGGGAAGACACGGTCCTGTGCGTGCCCTCCCCATCCTCCCAAATCCAGCACAGGCGTCATCTCCGTGAGGCCCTTGTGGCCACTGCCACCCTCTTCCCCGCCCACCTGCCAAAACTTAGCAAGGATGTGGCCCAGCTCTGCCGCCTGCCTCGGAGCTGTGGCATGACCCGCACGCTCGCCCCACGCCAGCTGCTCCACGGTGGTGGGCGGTGGCAGGGAGCCCCAGGGCCCCGTGGAGCAGGAGCGTGCGCCCACCCTGTGTGCAGAAGCCTGGCCCAGTCTCTGCCGGCACCTGGCAGGTCAGAGGGGATGGTGGAGTGAGTGACACGCCTAAGTAGCAGCATGTCCCCCGCTGTGGCCTCACATGGGCCCCGTCACAGAAAGCAGTAGGCTCAGCTGGGTTCCACAGCCACTGGTACCCTCCTGCCTGGCCAGGGGCCCCGTCAGGGCACAGGTGGGGGCTTACACTCCCACCCAGGAAAAACGCCCGAACACATGCAGTGGCGGGTCAGGGAGAAGAGGGAGACCGCGCCAGAGACCCGGGCCGGCTCCCTCTGCATGCAAAGCCGCTCTGACCCCAAAGCCACCCTGCAGACGCCCAGGGCCATCCACCGTCCAAGGGAACACTAAGCTTCCCACGCGGCCAGGGCGGGTCGTGAGGCTCACTGCGTGCCTTCCCAGGCCAGCCGTGGCCAGAGGCAGGGTGGGACACTCCACGACTGAACTTCCACGTTGAACCCTGCCCCCACACCCCCCTCCTGACCGCCCAGGCCCTGGAAGCAGATTCTTCTAGGCGGACATCGGTCAGGTCTGGGTGCCGCTTGCACGTCTCACCCCATGGCGGTGCCTGGGAAGTGCACTGCACAGGTCACCTGCCGTCTCCGCCCGGCCCTGCCACCCGCCAGATCACTTCTCACACCCACTGCCAGGACCATCCCAGAGGCTCTTACGGAGTAATGTGCACACACGCGGGAGGGACTGCACAGAACTCATGGGAAAAGGAATTAAAGGATGAGGTCGTTTTGGTGCAAAATGACCCCGCCAGCCTCTTTAGTCTCTGGTTCCGCAGAGGGCCTGGCACGGAGGCAGTGTGACAGAACAAGCCACTGACGGGATCTGCCGTCACATCTACCTGACCCCCACACACAGCCGAGCGAGTCCCGAGGACTGACTGCTCTGCTAGACTCCTCGCACACTCCCCTGCGCACAGCCCGGCACCGTCCGGGAGTCCCGCCTCCTGGGCTTGCCCTGCAGGTTGCCACGTCAGACCTGGGGCACGCGCCTCGGGCAGGCTCGGTCTCCCCAAACACTGACTGGGACCTGGAGGTTCAGGAAGAATGCAGCTCACACAGGAACCCCGAGCCCCCCCGGGGCTGAGTGGCTCCGTTTTAGAGAGGCCTGCCCGTCCTACTGAACTGTGCAGCAGAAGCAGTCGTTTTCGTGTTGTCCTTCAATAAAAGAAACCCCTATGGGCAACTGCAGGCCTCCGACGTGAGCTCGCAACCACCACGACCCTGCTGCAGCACCACGCAGGGTGAGTGGACGCTTCAGCCCGTCCGTGTGACCGCCTCCTGGTGAGGGTGGTCACAGCAGTCCCCAGACGGCCACGGCCACTGTGCAAAGGCTGGAGCCAGGGATGCTGACCCTTGTAGGAGGTCGGGAGGCCCAGGCAGGCCTCGGCAGGACCAGAGTGTGTGGGGGGTTCTGCTCTGCTGCTCCTGCCCGAGTGCAGAGCCACCACCACCAGGTCAAAATGGGCCCAGACCCTCCCAGACCGGGGCGTACCTGCTGCCGCTCCACCGGGGTCAGCGTGGGCGCGAGGCCCGCCGGCCGGCCGGCATCCAGACTATTCTTGGTCAGGGCGAGCGGCTGCTCCGTGCCGAGGCCGGACAGGGACGTGTACAGGTGGCTGCCGTGCAGGCTCACGGCGGGGGCCACACCACGCTCCACGGGGCTGCGGCTCCGCTCCCGGGCGTCCTTCCGGCAGTCCCCATTGGCAGTCTTGTTCCTGGAAAAGAGGGATGAGCAGTCAGGCGAGCAGGGCTGGTGTGTCCTGAACGGTGACGGCACTGCCCACGTGCCGGGCACTTCCTGCCGAGCACGTTCAGTCCCCGTGACGCTCAGGTGGCGCAGCGGCCGCCTGGCTGAGGAGCAGGGTGGTGAGGCTCCAGGAAGGAGGAACCCCGCTCCCCACATGCTGGGGCTGAGACCTTGCGGGTTTTTGCCCACTCAGCTGCCACAGCACTGAACCGAGGTGTCACACCTACCCCTGCCCAGATGAGGGGGCTGACTCGGAGCCACTGAGTCCTCGGTGAGGGGGCCGCGCACCTCTGCCTCCCCCAGAACACAGGCAAGACCCTGTTCTTTTTTTTTGGAGAGATTTTTGCTATAAGGCACGTGCGCTCACCAGAAAGACAGAGAGATAGAAAGGGAGAAATCACCCCCCAGAGGTGTAAATCCCCCCCCAGGGGTGTTGGCCACGCCGTAATCCCTTCTCCTCTCGGGATCTTGGTTGCCCGGCCTCAGTTTAAGCCACTGGGTTCGGGACTCGAACCGCAGTCGACTACATGGGAGTTCAGCGACGTAGCCATTACGGCCT